AGAGAAGTAAGCAAAAAGATGACCTCATCAGTCTCCTGCCTCTCTTTCATTGTCCAATCCGCAGGCAGGTGCAGGGAGAAGACAATGACGCTGAGAGGAAGATTTACTAAACCAAGAGCAGACAGAATCTGGTGCTGCTGTGCATGGTAGGCAATCAGCTTCTTAGGCTGGCCAATCGTATGTACTCTCCAGCGCCTCAGGATATGCACAGCCAAAATGGAAGCCAAGGGTACCAGGACAGCGACAACCAAAGCAAATGCTTCAGGGGTGCAGCCCTCCTCAGACGGGGAAATCAGCCACTGGATAGAGAGAAAACAGGTGGCGCACACACCTAGTGCATTATCCAAGGTTTATTGTAGGAGTGAAATAATAAAAACATACTCACAGACGAAGCATGTATCTAAAAAGCATAGAAAAATGACAATGGCCACAACGGCAGGCAAGGTGTTCTCACTGTCAGTGCGATCAAATGGTCTGACGCGTTTCGGGGACGAATCCCTTTCCTCAGAGCTGATGACCAACCTCTGATGCTGATGTATGATGAATGGAAAGTAAGAGCCTTGCTGGTGATGCCTCACTAGGTGTGTGCGCCACCTATCTTAGGTCGGCCAAACATGGGTCAATTTCCGAACAATTTTTCACTCGAAAATCGGACCTAAGAATATCGGCCGATTTTCGCTGTTAGTGGGGCAATGATTTTCGTGGTTCCTCCCCATTTCGTTTATCGGACATGCTGGAAAATTCATGAAAAATGGTCAATTTTCGAAATCATTGGTGGCACCATTGGATTACAGAACGAACAATGTTTTCGATTTTCATTCGAAAAATTATTCGGAATTCGACCCATGTATGGCCGGCCTAAGAAGCTGATTGCCTACCATGCACAGCTGCACCAGATTCTGTGTGCTCTTGGTTTAGTAAATCTTCCTGTCAGTGTCATTGTCTTCTCCCTGCACCTGCCTGCGGATTGGACAATAAAAGAGAGGCAGGAGACTTGGTGGCACAATCGGATTACAGAACGAACAATGTTTTTTCAATTTTCAATCAAAAAATCGTTCGGAATTCGACCCATGTATGGCCTGCTTAACTTCATTTTATTCCAGTGGTTCTCAACCTTCCTAATGCTGCGACCCTTTAATACAGTTCCTCATGTTGTGGTGACCCCCAACCATAAAATTATTTTTGTTGCTACTTCATAACTGTAATTTTGCAGTGGGAGGAGTAGTGCCACATCATTGGTGTCAGTGAGAGGAGTAGTGTCACATCACTGATGTCAGTGGGAGGAATAGTGTCCCATCGTTGGTATCAGTGGGAGGAGTGGAATAGGAATAGTGTCCCATCATTGGTATCAGTGGGAGGAATAGTGCCACATTGTTGATGTCAGTGGGAGGAATAGTGCCCCATCATCGGTATCAGTGTGGGAGGAATAGTGCCCCATCATTGGTGTCAGTGGGGGGGGGGGGAATAATGCCCCATCATTGATACTAGTGTGGGGGGGGGGAATTGTGCCCCATCATTGGGTCAGTGGGGGGGGTAGTGCCCCATCGTTGGTGTCAGTGGGGGGAGGAATAGTGCCCCATCATTGGTGTCAGTGGGGGGAGGAATAGTTCCCCATCGTTGGTGTCAGTGGGGGGGGGCGAGGAAATAGTGCCCCATCATTGGTGTCAGTGGGAGGAATAGTGCCCATTAAATTGGTATTAGTGACACCAATGATGGGGCACTATTCCTCCTACTGACACCAATGATACTTACCTTGCTGACTCCTGCTCCAGCCTGGGCTTCCTCCCTCCCTCTCCCATCTACAGCCAGCATACCTGGCTGCAGCAGCACCATCTGCACGCTACAGACACTTACCTGTCAGCTGTCTTCCTTCTCCGGCCGCTCCCTTGCTCGATCTTCTTTGATCTTCGCGCTGCTGCTCGGCTCCTCCTCCTCGCCGGTGATTGGCCGCCTGTGTGCCTCTCCTGAGCTACAGTTCCGGCGGCCAATCACTGGTGAGGAGGCGGAGCTGTTGAGTGATCCTGGGGATGTGGCCAGATGACAGGGGCGGTATGTCATCCCGCGCACACATTGCGTCCAGGGAAATGTGGACGTATCTGCATGTGGGCGGACCCGCCTGGAGACTGATAAAGGAGCGGTGTCTCGGTTCCTAAGACCATCGGAAATATGTGTTTTCCGATGGTCTTAGGAGACCCCTGTGAAAGGGTTGTTCGACTCCCAAAGGGGTCGCGACCCCCAGGTTGAGAACCACTGGTTTATTCCATTAAGCTTTGACAATAAAACCTGGAAGCGGATTGGTTTCTATGCAGAGCTGCACTCTCCAGTTTTACTAACTAACACCCTGTATTTCTAACTGATGGTGCTATCCTCCATGCTGTGTTGAGTGACAGGGTTGTTTAAATCTCAGGACTAGATAGATGGAAACACAAATCCTTTGGAGTGTAAAACAGCTATCTTCTAGGTATTTCATCTGTGTATTTAGCAGTTTGCCAGGAGTTCAGCTTTAAAGTAGGACAGGCCCGGACAACAAAGCATCCTGAATGTCTGGTTTAGGAGACCTAATTTCCATGTCAGTTAGCCCTCCCAAAAATTCAAAAACGGAGAAAATTGGGAAAACAGATTATATTTAAAGATCTAAAGAGCTCTGGCCTTAGAAACCACATAACGGCTTTTGTTTAGCGCGGCGTTCCTCTTTAGATGCTGTTGGTATTTGTACTTTAATCCACAGGGACTTTTCCCTATCAACGGTTGTCTAAGTCTGTAAAGCAGAAGTTTGAAACTGTGTTCAATCTGCTGCATGTTTTATGAAAAACGAAAAATCCTGATCGTAATCATCACATTCCATCGCCTTCATTAGCATTTTTCAGCAGCGGGCTTTAACATCTCCCATAAAACCGAATTTTACAAATGCCATCTTTAAATCTGACACAAGCAAACAAAGCGCTTTCAATAACTGGACCATCTTTTATGTTTAATCATTAATCCTCCGAAATAATGTTATACCAAATTAATCTTTACAGAGCAAAGCTATTATCTTCCTATAAAGCAAATAGCAGCTATTAATTTATATATCTCTAGCGCTCAAACAGACAGGTAGACAAAAAAAAAAAAGAAATCTTTTTATAGATACTGTTTGTGTTCTCTACAATTCATGTTTAAAGCCGCTAAAAAGTAAATTTTATTGGATTGGAGTCCATTAAAATGGCATTTCAATCTGTTGCGAATGTTTTACTGTAACCCATTTGCTAAGGTTAAAAAGATATTCTAATTGAAATCTGTGATCCAAAGTACCGCAGGAGAATTTAGCATAATAGAGCACTAAAATTTCCGATTTCTTTATGTCAATGCTCCAAGTTGTTTTTTATAAAGGAAGGCAGGGTGGTATCTTAATCAACTCAAGTCAAAAGAATTAATTGTATTTTCCTGTTTATTTACTTGGGCAGAGTCTCGGAGATACCATTGTGCCTAGTTAAAATCTACAAATTTTGCTCGCTGCCATGGAAAAAACGCACACAAAGAATACTGTGTTGATACAAGCGTTCTGAAGATAACTGCAAACAGCTGTGTCTACAAATTCCCTGTGACATGGATAAAATTTTGATTCGGTTATTCATTTCTCATGGAAAGAATAGTTACTTTAAACATTTTCTGCGGCAAACAACCACTGTAAATCTCTTTTAGGGCTTGCTTACAGATGCAGTCAAACACATTTTTAAATGCAGAGTGAATACATGTGCAAGACAAATTAAAGTTGAAATGCAAGTATGGACATTTTTACATAGTTACATTGATCCAGCTTTGACTAATGTAACTATATATATACCGTACCATACCTGGATGATGCCCCTTGAAGCTGGAAATCACTGAAGTAGATTCCACTGCTCCAGTGATCTCCACTTGCTATCAGGTCCCGTGCCAAGCGGCTTCCCTGCTGCATTCTAAACACATAAGGTCAGCTGCTCAGTACAGCGGCACCAGTTAGATAATGCTTTTAGTTTTCTGAATGAAAGCAAATCATTCTCTGATTGGACAAGGTTTGTGACATCACTACCCCGCCTCTCCACCTTGTCCAATCACAGAACACTTTGCATTCACTCATAAAATGCCAAGCATTCTCTGAACAGTTGAGGATATTGGAAATACAAAGCTGGACCTACAAGTACACTCCACTGGTATTGTTATCTTAAGGTATTAATGTTGGTGTAAATGATCTGGTTCCTGGGCAGGCGGCTTCTACACCCCAGAGGATCTCCACAGTCTCCCTGGCTTGTAGTGTAATGTCAGAAGAGTTTTAATTGGAGTGCCACACCACTGCTAAGAGGTCCGGGTACAACTTTATTCCATTGAAGGTCAGGGATATAATTCAAAAAGTAGCCAAACAAGCTGCGGATCAGGCCTGTGCTTTTAATTCACACTAGAAGACATACCATTGTAGGTCCAGTTCACTTCTGGTCTGTTCACTTTGTTGCCAGTCAAGCCCTGATGAAAGGGGCACTTAGACCTCCAAAAAGCATTGACTATTTCTCAAATTATACCCCTGACTTTTAATGGAATAATATTGTATTTGAACCTCTTAGCAGAGGTGTGGCACTTCAATTTCAAATCTTCTAAGCATTTTCTCAATGGTGCTCATGCCCAGTGGCCAACCTCCTATGTAATGTAACAGGCCAGCCACTCAGCACGGGACCCGGAAGAAAGTGGAGATCACTAGAACAGTGGGATCTGCCTCTGTGATTTCCAGCTTCCAGGGGCATTGACTATACATGGTACAGGGCTTAAAATTTCAAGTCCTGAGCTACTAGCCAGGCCTTAGAGTTACTCGCCACCGACAAACACACACAAACAGAGACACCTGTACACACACACAGACATGTACCTACACACACACACATACACACACAGAAACATGTACACATGCACAGAGACACATGTACACACACGCACATACAGACACATGTATACACACACAGGCACGTACAGACATGCATACACACAGATACATGTACATACACAGAAATAAACATGCACAGACACGTACATACATACACAGACACATGTACATACATACACAGACACATGTACACACAGACACATATACATACATACACACAAACACATGTACATGTACACACACACACACACATATATGTACATACATGCTGGCACATGTACAGATACACACATGTACATACACAGACACATGTACAATTGTACATGCATACACAGACACACACACACAAACACACACTATCACCACCCCCATAAAAAGTTGCAGTACTTCGTTGTTCACTCACAGATCCGGGTACTGCACTCTAGGGGGAGGCAGAGAACACAGCACACACTCCTTCCTTTGCTTTCAGTGCGCTCAGCTATTGAACAGTTTGACGGCTCCCAGTGCCAATGACAGATCTGGCCTGAGCTCCGAGCCTGCTCAGCAAGATGGCCCTGGGGGACACACTCACCCCCACCATAATTTCCACTCACCATTGGCGAGCAGGCGAGTGGAAATTTCAAGCCCTGGTATATACTGTACATAGTTACAGTGGGCCAAGCTGGAGCAATGCAACTATGTAGATGTAGCGCCCTCCTTGCTAGGCTGCTAGGTTTTGGTTAGGCAAATTTAGATCTTGGCTCTCCTGTAATCAGCAGAGCAGTGTGTATGATTGCTTTAGACTGCTCTGGGCTCTGCAAGCTGCAAGTTTGACTGCTCTCCCCTATTTTCTGGAGATTTCAAGAAAATAGTGGGTGAGAGAGTCAAATGAGCAGCCTGGACATTTATGCAGCTTCAGCCAATCCCTGGGGAAGTGTGTGCCCAGATAGTGCTTGGGGAGTGCATGAATAGTTTGGAACACCAGAGAGCAGGGTTTCTTTTCCTTGGAGAAGAGGTTCCCAGCCAGGAGTGCTGCCTGCCCTTTCTGCCATCCTACTAGGGATCCAACCTGATCATCGATGTCCCAGCTGTGGGGCCTATCCTTAAACGAGTTCTTGGGGAACCAAAAAGAGGGGTGCCACTGAGGATCTTATCTAGGAACTATACAGAGGCAACCGGTGGGGAAAGTACTGCATTTATGCACTGATTATTGTTTGTGTGAATGAAAAAGGATTGCGGAGGGCAATGGGAATAGTGGAAGGTGCTGGATTTCAGTGAAAAATGTTTGCTTTGCAGCTGAGGACAGTTTCTAGCTACAGGTGCATTTTCGAGAGGCCAAGGTGTTATTGAGTTAATCCATGGTGTGGGAGAATTGGCACAAATGAGTTCTGTACAGACAAGCGGAGCTATTTCTGAGTCCCGAGCAAGCAGTTGGGGAGAAAGCAGAATCGCTGCCAGTGCTTTGACCAATCTGAGAGAATGAAAGGATATGTGGTGAAGAGGTGATAGGGGATTGGAGCCCCTCTGGATCATCTGAAGACAAGACCAATAACAATACCTAAAGATGCAGGAAGGGTGGAAGTAGTCTTTCAGCCAAAACCCTCAGAGGTATATGAGGATGGGGCTGATCTGCTTTCCTCTCACTCCTGATAAATGTATGCTATTACGTTTACTGAAACAGTATTATAAGGCAACTCTTAATTGAGAAGACGGAACTGGCTGATACAGATCAAATCTGAAAGGTGTTCAGTTTTGTCCCCTGTGGAATCACATTTTTATAATGAAAGAACTTGCAGATTTGAAGAGATGCTTCTTCAGGTTTATCATAACCACTCATAGATTTATTTTCATTTTCATTGCTGATATATATTTCATTGAAAATCCTCAACACGGACGGGAACATATTTGGTTCCTAAGGATTACAGGCATTAAATTTCTCAGGTTTTCAGATTTAAAAGAGATCAGCATTTTTTGAAGCTAGTCCTGAAATCCTTATGCATTTGCAGTGGAGATGTCAAAACACTCTATTATTCATGCTCCAAGTTCAGCCTAGGCCATGCCTATTATAAATGATCTTTTTCTTTATAGGATAGTTATTTTATTCCTAAAGCTGCTGCTGGCAGTGTTACATCAGCCAATAGATAGGTTAGCATGAGAAAGGATATCAAAGAACAGCTCCAGTCTGCAGGCACTTGACTTGCGGTTCCATGCTGCTCCACCTCTCTTTCATGTTGTGTCCAGAGCTGCAATGGACAATACTGGAATGTGAATACTATTCATACTATAGGGCTTTATCTCACTGGGATGCAGATCAACCTCACTCAGAGGACACGCTGCGTCAAATGGGGTTGAATTAAAGTGTAACTACTGGCAAAATATAAAATGATGTCGTCTAGTTCATGCTCTATTTCTCTTCCTTAAGGTACGTAGGAACCTTGTGATGTATCTATTTTGATGGCCTGTTATTAAACGATGGTTTATATTATGGTTGCAGAAGTATCTACTGTATCCACTGCTTTTTTTGTACCCTCTATGTTGACATTTGATTCACCACTGGATGACTGCTATGCCCAGGGGCGGACTGACCATTTGGAAACTCAGGCACTGCCTGAGGGCCCGGGGTCAGTAGGGGGCCCCATGAGATGCCCCTGGTACCTTTTACATAGGCTTTTTTTAGTTTGGGCAAGGACACAGGGGCCCCATAATCCCCTATTGCCCGGGGGCCCCATGAGTTGTCAGTCCGCCCCTGGCTATACCCCTACCTGACAGTAGATCAAAGTCCCCGCCTGAGAGATCTACCCCTTTTCACATATCTAGGCTAAATCATGGAGATTTTCTTTAAGAATTAACCCATATGGGTGAAATGTGCTATAGAAGTGTGTCTCTCTGGTGGGAACTTGGATGTGCTCTGTCAGTCTAATAAAGATCTTGAAAGATTTGAGGTCATCGAAGTGCAACCTTCCTTTATACAGCGTAAAGCACAACAGATTACACATATTTCTACTTTTAATTTCCAAAAATCATGCTCCTGGCTGATGACAAATATCTCCTCCACATTATCACTCACTAGCATCTGGAGTGCTGAATCTTGCCTGTTTCTCATCTGTGAAATGCATCTCAGCAATACAATACCTAAAAACCACTGCACAGTGAGGGAAGCAAGATAATCATATCTTAATTAATTTGAATGATTGTGAACGTAGATATAGGTTTATCAAGGGACACGATTAAAGGAAGGTGTAAAGATTCAACATCTGGTAGATTGACAGACTGCACAGAACTCCAGCTACAAGTGACTGCTACTCCTAGTTCACACCAGTGTGTCTTTGAAATCATGCTACTTTGTGCAACTTCAAAGCTGACTATTCAGTGTGACTTCATTGTTGCTTGCTGACATTCTGTTGCACAAAGATAGTGCAGTTTTTCAAAATTGCCGCCACTTGAGTCGCACCAACTTGAACAATTCCATTGCTGCTAATGGGGTGCGACTTGTCATGCGACTTTGAACTCTCAAGTTGCATGACAAGTCACACCGATGTGAACCAGGGCTTAAAGCCCCTGTCAGATGGGGCAAACCCACTGCAAGCTGCTTGCTCTGGATGCACTCATGCATGCTCGCTCCCAAGCCAACTGTGTGTGTCTATGGGAGACAAAGAGGATCCCTCCAGCGTCTGGAGTGATGGCAGCCGACAGCACATGTTAGACCACTGTAGGCTATATACGGGTCACAGGAGTGCAGAACTAGGTGCACTCCTATTACTCACAGGAGAAGTAGGGCCAAAATAACTTTGGCCTTACTTCTTATTTAAAGAGACTCTGTGTTAAAAAAACTGATGCAGGTATACAAGTGCAGGCACCTAGATGTCACTGCTCTCTGCTCTGCCCCTCCGGTGTTCACTGGAGTATCGGGCTATAGAGGGGATGGAAGCTGCTGTCTCAGGTTCTCACTGCTTGCCAAGAGGTAAGCCAGCTGCTGGTCAGGCATCTGGGTGGATCCCTACATTAAAGTCAGGATCCCTCCAGTGTCTGGAGTGATGACAGCAGACTTTAGCCCACTGTAGGCTATATATGGGTCACAGGTGTGCAGAACTAGGTGCACTCTTGTTACTCACAGGAGAACTAGGGCCAAAAGAACTTTGGCCCTACTTCTTATTTAAAGAGACTAGATGTCAAGTTCACCTAGATGTCAAGTTCAGATGCTCCATATCTAAAGGCCAGATTTGGTGCTAGATGTTGCAGAAAATCAGATAGTTCATACCTAAAGCTAGACTCATGATGCAGTGGTAAATGCAGAGGTGCGAATACAGCAATGCCTCGGTGGCAGAGATGGTCACACAACAACTCTCTCTCTGATTGGATTGCCCATAAAATAATGGCTGCCAGTCCCACAGTTTAAGCTGCAACCTATGATAAATTGCTGCTCAATATCCTTCTAAAGCTTTACTGGCAGCGGCTGAGGGAACAGCCTGTTTTGCTGGTGTCCAACTCATTTGTGGGCCCGTATCACAGAAAATTGGCAGAGAAGCATACACCAGTCCCTCCACTTTCTATAACAGTGCTGCCAACATGAATTTTTCTTAATTTGTTGTATCAGTTTTACAACCCTTCCTATGACAATAATCTTGCACTGGACTAAGTAATTTACAGTGCTTCTGCCAGAGTAGCCACCTCCGGGAGAGAGGAGGAAAAGGCCTGTTAGTTACTTACGGAATGTAATAAAACCCAAATGAGATAAAATAGCTAAGTCATGCAGCATTCCGAGTGCGGCCCCACACACAAGTATCTTGTGAAATTACAGGGAATATAAGGCAATTTGCAGTGTAATATCGCTATGGTTATTTCATAAACCCGCCGCCTAGGAAAATAACGGATTTGACCAGAGCACTTCTGCCTTGTGTTAGCTAAAAGCTTGTACAGGTTTTGCTAGAACATCAGACACAGCTGAAAAAAAAATCCCAGTCAATCTCTTCTTTGGCATATGCTTCTCAGTTAGGGTATATACACACTGGCATTTATCAAACAAAACATCATAAACTCAACTTCTCTTATAATGCATCTGTGCTCCCTTGTTGCAGCTAAATGCCTTCACCTGCATTTCATCAAACTTATGTTTTATCTTGTGTATTTGATGATTTGCATTTGATCGGTGATCATATGGTCAAAGCACAAAGTAAAGTAATTAAAGGCACTTCAAACACATTGTGGGTTGTTTAAAGTGGGTCTCATTGTTATTCATTGTTCATGTCTCCTCTCCGCTGATGCAAAAAGACGACATGCTGCATTAAAAAAAGAGACAGCAACACAAATTAACTACACTAAATAACACAGGTATGTGAAGCTTCACTGAGAACAAAATTCATTTTTGGACCATTTCACTGCATGACAAATAAAAGACAAAGATAAAATGTAGATGTCACTGTAACAAGGGTAAAGACCCTTACTCGTCAGCAGTCCAATCTGTCCATTTTTTGACCCATGATTGCACTGATCAAAACTGACAGCAAGACATCTCTATCAGTGGTCGGATGTGGGTGGATTTTGCATACATCCCCCATAATCAGGTCCATTTATGTGGATTTAGGCCTGCTTTTATTGACCAGACCAGAGGTTGGCAGGTATAGGCAGGTGCAAGTCCCCTTTATTAGACACCCTTCC